GTAGTAACAAGTGCATCGCTACTAGTAACAAGTGCCTTACTAGTAGTAACAAGAAGCTAGTAGTAACAAGTGCATCGCTACGAGTAACAAAGGGCATCGCTACCAGGAGCAAGGACGCTACTAGTAGCTCCTGGCCTTACTACTAGTAACAAGAAGCTACTAGGAACAAAGGCCATCGCTAGTAGGTTGCAAAAAGGCCGTCTGGATCGCAGTTGCCAGTGGTACTAAGGCGAGCCCAGTAGGGGTAGTAGCACGAGGCAATTGCATTACATCATCTTCCAATTGCGCTAGACATTGGCAGGGTTTGATGAGTGTGCTTGGAACCCCATCGCCGAATTTTGCGATATGCTTTGCCAAATCCCATTCATTGCTGAGCCCAACACCCCAAGAGCTTTCAGCGTTCGACCATAGGCAGCACCAAGGCTTGAAATTTGTGCCTGCAGTGTTTCGACCCACCAATTAAGAATCTTGGCAAGAACATCGCCCTTTCGAAAGCTTCTGCGAAAGGAACATCCTGTAAGGATTGATTCCTTGACCGCCAATAGTAGATGGTTTGGTGGTTTGTAAGGGCCTTTGCCAGCACATGTGAGATAGGAATGAGACAAACTCGAACACAGGGCATCGCTTCTAGGAGCAAGGACGCTACTAGGGGCTCCTACTAGGAGCAAGGACGCTATTAGGTTCCTTTTGCTACTATGAGCAAAGGGCATCGCTTCTAGGAGCAAGGACGCATGCTCATTTCGGTGCATTTCAAGAACGAAGGCTAAAGGCCTTCAATGGACGGCCGGCCGTCTTGTAAAAGGACAAAGAAACCAACAAAAGAAGGAACCAATGATATGAATAGAATCAAAGGAAGGTAAGGGGGCCCCCTTTGTGCATCTGTTTCTTCTTGTATGTTCTTGTCTTGTTGGCACAACAATACAAGCACACTTTGTAGACAAAACTGCAAAAGCATTGGTTGCCTGCAGCTCAGGGCTGCTCAGGTAGCTACTGTAGGTCTTCTTGAACTCCTCCAGCCTTGAAGTCACAAGCAAAGGTCCAAAACACTAGGAGCAAGGACGCTACTAGGAGCAAAGGGCATCGCTACTAGGAGCAAGGACGCTACTAGGGGCTCCTGGCATCGCTATTAGGAGCAAGCACAGCCACAGAATCTCCAAAAGAGCAGCTATTCATAGTAGTAGCCAATAGTAGCATCCTTGCACTAAGCGTTCCTGCGATGAAACTTAGCTTCAAACGCCTCTTCTGCACTACGTGCAGTTGCCAAAAGCAACTCTTTATTCGCCTCGACAGGCGACTTTGCGAACGATCCAAGGAGTGGCCCAGTGAATGTCAGTATGTTGTTCCTAGTAGCTTCTTGTTACTAGTAGTACGGCCAGGAGCCCCTAGTAGCGTCCTTGTTCCTAGTAGCGATGCCAGGAGCCCCTAGTAGCGTCCTTGCTCCTAGTAGTAAGGGCATGTTGCACCTATTAAACTCACCAGTTGCTTCAACAGCTACCCGTAGCTACTGGTGTTCAAGCCGCCTCCGTCACAGATGCTTCAGCTTGAGCTTGCAGCTGCCTAGCCTTCACCTGCGCATCTCCACGATTCTCAAGAAGTCAACACGTATGAAGCCTTCGGCTATCTGTGCCTCACAAAAGCGAAGGTGATCTGCCAAGAGTGCCTTGAAATGCTCTTGAAAGTCCACCTGAGATCCGTTTTGAAAGCTCTTTTTTTGCCGACCTGCTTGCAGAAAATAAATAGGTGCCTGCTTGATAAGTTAGCTTCTAGTATATAATTGGACGCAGGATAGCTCACGCACTCCCTAACTAAGTTACAACATGCAAAATAGTCTACATGAAGCGCAATGAAGTGGAGCATTTTCTGAGAGCAGGGCAAGCTTTTGTTTGAGGTCACCTTGTTGCTCTTGCACCGAGGTCCTCATGCATTTCACAGCATTTGTCCACAGCATCGGTTGTACAAAAACAATACAACAATGTTCCAAGCACCACACTGCAAGGTTGTGCCAGAGTCTTCCAGGATCTTCCTGCACGTATCAGAAATGCATCACACATGTTTCCGAACCCAAACCGAGCCTGGTTTGATCCAACAGCTCCTTTTCCTTTCCCTTGGAGCAGTTGTATCAAGTCAAGCTAAGATGAATCAGTGTGCAAACAATCAAGCTTCTCACAGAGGACACAGCTTCGCTTTCAGCTCCATTGATCTTCTCCTCAGTTTCTCAATCGCTGGGAGACACAGATTCTCCCGAGTGAGTGAGTTGGTCCATTCGTAATTATGTCCAGTGCCTGAATGGATGCCTTCACATTGTACAGCTCGGAGCGATGCCTTGGTGGTCCACACATGTATCCACATGTCAGCATATGTCAACATGACATGATAACACAAACGACATGAGCAAGTCAGAGGCAAAGACTTGTCCGACTTCTCCATATGTTCCTTTTGCTTCATTCGGGCCTGGCTCAATGACTCAATTTTCTTTGAATCATGTACCATCATGTACCCATATGCATGCAGTGGAAATTGCCTCGTCCAACTGTCTGGAGACTGTGTCCAACTCAATCCTGCCATCGTGTAGCCCATACTTTTAGTTTGAACATAACACAACATCTGCCCCGTAGCCCCACGTCCTTAGCTGACGTTTCCTTTCATCCAGCTCTTCGATCTCCTTGTCGATCTGGGCCCGCACCTGTAGCAAGGACGTTGGACTTGAAACCTAGGTCTTGGGCCCACCAGGTCTTGTCCAAGGAGTGGCTCAGTGAATGTCAGTATGTTGTTCCTAGTAGCTTCTTGTTCCTAGTAGCGATGCCAGGAGCCCCTAGTAGCGTCCTTGCTCCTAGTAGTAAGGGCATGTTCCTGCTTACTTGCCTACCTTTGATGCATTCTTTAGGCCGGCCTCGTCCAAATGCGACAATTGCATCTTCAGGCTCTCTTGCGATTGGCTTAGTTCGCCCTGCCCAGCTTTGGATTCATAGCCGCATGTGGGTCACAACCAAGGAGGGTCCGTCGTGAAAGCACACCAAGAATCGGATCTTTCGATCAGTTGAATTTGAGCCTTTGGGATTCAGTCAGACCATCAAGAGTTCACCGACACAATCTAATGTGTTCCTAAACCTCATGGCCTGAGAGGCGCTTTTCCGCACAGAATGAAACCACAAGACAAAGAGAGCGCCTCCAAATCCTTCCGCTGAGAGCTGGAACTCTCTGCTTGGCTCTGCAAACTCACCATCCGCGCCTCACGAGAGAAGAATATGGACGTCATCATCCACAGCACAATTTCTGTACCACCATTTTGTTTGGTGTAGATCACATGGGTCTATTGAAACTTCTGGTAGTGTGTGAAAACGTAACCTTCAACAAAGCAGAATATGCTCCTGCAAGAAGGGCATTGGTATAGGGAAACATGCTTCAATTGGTCGCCAAGATTCAAAAGGTGGTGCTGCCGCCATTTCACACACTGCCAGGCCACTTATCAAAGTACCATACAAGTTTTGCAAAATTAGTTACAATATATAGACATTATATACTTTTAGTATCGATTAGTATCGATTGGCCGCGCCATTACTATGTTCTCATCCATGGTGATTTGGCTAGCTCGTTGTGACGTTGGCTCCACGTGTACACAGGATACACGCGTTACGTTCCAACCGCGTTCCGATACTTCAATGCTGTGGTAGCTGCGAGGCGACTCGTGCAGCCTTTGTAAAAAATGAAAAGGCTTTGCAGTTTGGGGAAAAGCCGACCAAAGGAAAACACAGGTCACAAAAGCAAAGGAAAGCGTTCAAGCCAAGAAACAAAGGTTGTCTTCTTTGGCTGGAAAACGCGTCAGAAACAGCAAACGCTCCTTTGCCCCCAATTGACAAATCTCTAGGTTACCACTGCACTGCACAAGTCAAACAGTGCCAACAAAGAGGCCACAAAGACACCACGTCCAGCTTGCGAGGCATTGCTTGGACTTCAGTGCCCCTTGAAACAAGAGCGCTTCTGCGTCTTTTGTCTTTCCACGTCATTCCTTTCTTTCTTGAACTCTTTCTTTCTGGGGGTTTGCTACTGCTACTGCTACTACTATATACTACTTCTACTACGTACCGTCAATACCATCTTTCAAAACCATGCTACTAAGACCAGTACCTCCAGAAATCAAACAGTCTTGCCGAGTTTTGCCCAAATAAGCACTGGAAAAATGCCCTAGCAATAACATGGAGGCCTACTGTATGCGGAGCTAGAAGGAAGGGTGCAGTAAAGTTGTTCTACCATGATGCAAATCTATGCTGTTCATGCACTGAAATGAGAACGCAAAATAAGACTACAGTTCATTGTGAAAGCCGGTCAGCTAGATGCCTCTCCAAAAGCTCACCGTGTCAATCATGCGCCTGAACCTGCTGAAGCACGTGCTGGATGTCGCTCTCTCGCATCTGCCGCACCTTGCATCCAAACATGGTACTACTTGTGGTGTGAAAATGTGTCAAGTATTCCAGGCATGGTAGTAGTAACAGGTGCCACGCTAGTAGTAACAGGTGCCTTACTAGTAGTAACAAGAAGCTAGTAGTAACAGGTGCCACGCTAGTAGTATCCAGTCGCCTGTTGGCCCTCTTCGGTCCGTAAATGTCCGTAACAAATACGAGGAGTAGCAGCCTCATCCCGGTGTGCACCAGAGGCATGTAGGTTCTGCTGCACTGCCAGGTAGGTCTGCAACCTCAGCAAGGCTCCTAGCCTCATCCGCGCAGAGCCCCAAGTAGCTTCTTGTTACTAGTAGCTACTTGCTCCTAGTAGTACGGCCAGGAGCCCCCAGTAGCGTCCTTGCTCCTAGTAGTAAGGCCAGGAGCCCCTAGTAGCTTCTTCTTACACACAAGAGGAAAACGCCCCTTACCCCCACTCAGTCTGATGCTCAAACACAAGAAAAAGGAAGAACAGGAGCATTGAAGACGCCAGTTGTAGTTTTGAAGGGCTGCGCTTGAAGGGCTGCGTTTGCGGTTCCTTGAGGTGCAGGCAGCTGTGTGGAGAGCTCGATACCTAAGTTTCCAAACAGTGGCTCAATCGAGGACACGCTTCTCATTGCAAATGGACCTTGACTTGGTTCCTAGAAATTGAAACATGTCTTTTATCTGTCCGACGTGTTCTTGTTTGTGTTTTTCCCTCTTGTTGCTCTTTCATGTTGTCTGTGGTATTTGCTTTTTTAGAGCTTTCCTTCCCTAATGTGATTGTTTGAAATGCAAGAACCCACCGAAGGAAGCTCAGGTTCCGCAAGGAAACGTCCCTTCTGAAAGGACACTGGGGAGCTTCCAACCTAATAGAGATGGCCTTCATCCCAATTGCAACGGCGTCCATCCTACTAGCGATGGCCTCCATCCTGCTAGCAGTGGCCTCCAACCCAGTAGCGATGTGCCTCATTCCCGGGGGGCGGACGTTTCTTGGAATGCTCCTCGGTGTCGCTCAATGCCAACGGCTTCAGCTCCTGGGCTTTAGCTTCACATCAAACAAACACATCGCTCAGTGCTCACACTCCAGAGGAATTAATGTTGAAAAACACGTTTCTTGATTCTTTCCCAACTCCACAGTGTTTCCTGTCTTATTTTCTCTCCTGTTTCAATACCTCAGCTTTCATTGCCAGGTCCTGGTGACAGCAGCAAGACCGGGCGGGGTTACAAAAAGAATCAAATTCTCTATTCCAACTTTCCGCCGAACTGCTCTTGTGTTTTGTCTCTTCCTTTCTTCCTTTTAGTTCGTTCCTTTTAGACCCTATATATGTAAATTTATTTTACAGAATGACGTCAAGCTCTTTCTCACCTTTCGCTCGCTGCTCAGCATTTCGTCGTTCCTGGCGCAGATAGCGCCTTCTCTTGTTCACAAGGTCCAGCTAGGTCCAGAAGGGACAAACATCATCGAACGAGTACTTGGGGGGTAGAGGACGCTACGAACGGAGCAAAGGGCATCGCTACGACCGGAGCAAGGACGCTACTAGGAGCTTTTTCGCGACAGGGATCAATGTTCTCATCTTTTCTCCAAATCTCTTGCTGTCCGCGCAGCAGGTCAGTTGGACGAGTCATGCGACTCCGGGAAAACAAACGTGGACAGCCGATCCAAAGCCCAAATCTGGGAGTGACGGAGTTTGTTTTCAAGCCCATCAACTCTGATCAGTTTTGGTCAGCTCTTCTCTGAGTCACCCTCCGGCCGTCTTTCAGGCAAAGCAACACCACGTTGCCAAAGGCCAGTTTCTGGGTCGGATTCGCTCTCTGGAATTGTTTCCTTTGGCTCCGGTGATTTCATCTTGGAGATTGCGTACAGGAGAATGCAGGCTGTGCTCGTTGTCCAAGCTGCAACAACTTCCAAAGTAAACCTGCGATCAATGCTACACTACCGTCATTGAAACACTCCGGCACTGAACTGAAATGTGACAAAACCCTTGAATCTAATTATGGGGCATCTACAGGACCAAAGATGGCAAAATGTAATTCCAGCTGCAAATCCAAGATGCGTTGCTGAGCCGGTGTGAACGGCATAGAAATAGCAGCCACCCAAGTAGATTGGCACACACAATGACTTCGCTACAGCACCGAGCTTTTTAACCATCAAAGCAGTTGTTAGGCCACTCGCTACATAGGAAAACAGCAATACCAACACGCGCCAATTGTCAAAGCCCCTTGTCAAAGCTGAGAAAGGCAAACCATTCCTGTCAGATCGAAATTGATCATTGTCCGTTGCTAAAAGGGGGGCATTGGCAACACACAAGAAATCCTGCTGTGCATGACAGCCAGTGCAATCATCCTTCTTGCAAAATGCCCAGTGCTGACTGGATACGCAAATCGCAAAGTGAAGAGGCTCAAGTTCATTGCTGCAAAGCTCATCCAAGTCTGCTGGACGAGGAATGGTATGCCAGGGCGAAATGTCAGCAGCTGTTCCTAGAATCAATCAGGAACAGGGTTTGATCATGAATGAGCAAGATTGAGCAAACACTTGCACTGTGTCTTTTGTTTCGATGTATCGTTTCACAAAATCCTCAATGCAAAAAAGATGAAAAGCAACATTGCAAACCCGAATGTATAATAAAACATGCACAAAAATAAAGAACAAAGGAACACAAAGAGGTCCCAATGGTCGAAGGAAAATGAACAAAAGATCGTACTTAATCTAAGTCTAAAGGATCTAAACAAGAATGGGAAGGAAAGCATATAGGATGGTCTGAAGAATGAAACAACACACCATAAGTGCACTTTAAGTTGTTCAAATTATTTCTCTTCGTCGTATTCTCCTGCAGCACAGCCCCTAGTGATGTGAAGAAGACCGCCAGGGACCGCTCGGCAAGGCCCAAAGACCATTCCAGCGTTGTCAATGTTGGGACATTTGAAGCCCTCGCAAGGTGAAAACTGCTTGAGACAATGCAAAACAGGGCATTGGTCAAATATTGATTTTAAAGGGGGGGTAGAACGGTAGGCCGGTAGAAGAGGTAGGTGGTAGCTAAAGGTAGGTAGCTAGTAGAAGCAAACGGTATAACAACTAGCTACTACTTAGGAGGCATGATAGCTCACGCTCGCACTATTCATTTGGTTCCTAGATTGTTAGGAAACGTATATGATTGAAAGCCATCGCTAGTAGGGTGGAGGCCATCGCTTCTAGGTTGGAAGCTATTAGGATGGAGGCCATCGCTATTAGGTTGGAGGTCAAAGTCTTGGCACATTGAAAGCTAACAAATTCTGCAAACAACCCTTTCGCAAAGCCTTGAAGCAATCTGACGAGCATGAGCCTACCAAACAGTGGAATTGGCAACTTAAACACACGGAGATGCCAGCTCCTTGAAAAAGGAAAACAAAAAAGCAAGCAACAAATTCTGAGAATTGAATGCTGTACAGCATTTTCCCTTGCCTCTGATTGGCAAAATACCATTGTCGCCACCGCCACAGCGACCACCAAGCTATACTGCCTTGGGCAAAAGCTGTCTCACTTGGAATGGCATTGCAACGGTACAGCCTTGCAGAACTCATTACGGAATTCCAAACTAGCTCCAAATGCCAAGCCACTGTGGGCTCTGCCCCTTTTTCAAGACCACGCGGGACAGCAAAACGGTCAGTATGATTGCCAAAGCCTCGGCGGCGGAACAGAAGCAATTCTGAAATTGCAAGGAACATGAGCGATGAAAAGGCTAGAGAGAGGATTAACAAAAAGGAAGCCTTGCAAGGTTCAGAATGCTCAAACTATGCAAGTTATGTAATGGCATACAATACAATACTTGAATGTTAGTGAGAATTAAACATACACCCCTTGTAGTTGAAGTGTATTTCTTCCATGGCTTCGCGCCTTGCCAACCAAGCTGAAAGTGCCCACATCAAGGTGTGCTATGGACATGAAGCTCAGCCTCGGTTTTCAACAAAGTCTCCAAAAGAGGAACACGCTATAACACGTTAATCAAAACACAATTGTCTGGACGAAAGCTGGGCAGCATATCGCCTGCCACAAAGAGAGACGTTGTAATGAAGAAACGCCAAACCATATCTGGTCGCCACCTCAAGTCGGTTCGGATCAAAGGAAGAGCCTGGGAAACTGCTGAAACACACTGGATCATTTGGTGGCTGCAATTTCCTCACCAGGTTGCAGCTGAGCAGCAACTGCCGAAGCCCCTTTTTTCCTTGTGATGCCGCCCAAGTGAGCCCCAGGATCCCATCGATGGCCCAGGCATGGAACACCAGCGCGGGAATGGAGAATGGGAATATCCCACCATTGTGTCGTTTCACCTCGAACTGAATCGATCTTCATTTTGAGACCACTTGCAATTGACTCTGACTGAAGCACATGTGATGCGCATATCAAGTCGCCCAATCAAATAAGATTGGTCCGATAGCGCTGAGCACCACGAAGGCAAAGCACAGAAAAGCCTCCGCTCAGTCATTCCGTCAACAAAGTTCAAGAATTGCTGAAATTTAGTTAGCTGGTTCAACAATGTTCAATAGTTTATGGTTAAACCACCTCCACCCAATCAAGCTACGTTGAAGGGTATCGTGATGATATCTTGACGGGTATCCTGCATTCGGGTTGCCATTAAGTGGTACAAGCAGCAGCAGCAGCAGCAGCAGCAGTGGTAGCAGTAGTCGTTAAAGGACTACTTATATATATATATACACTACTTAGGAAGTGTCGTAGTCCTTAGGAACTAGTTGTCTGGCCAGTCTTGACTTGGTGAGGTTCCTGGTGGGACCCTTGCTTGGGCCACGCGGGGCATATTGGGAGGTCGCAGCAGCAAATAGCAATGCTATCAGATGAGAAATGCGCGAAGCAATAGCATTTAAGGTTCAAACACGAAACACGTGGCGCATAGAATCATAGAAATATTACGAAACCACAAAGTGGACACAACAAAGAAAGACACCAAAGGTGTCGCTTTAGTCGAAAACCTTTACGACTTCCTTTCCTCAGGTGCTGCAACTGATGTCAAGCCTTCTTTATCAATCGCGTCGATGTTCTTGACCATGCTGGAGCAGAAGCGGCACGGCCTGTCAGACATGAACACAAGGGGCATGGCACTTATCCAAAAGAGAGGAACTGATGAAATCACACAGTATGATGTACAGTAGAACTGTCTTTGTCTTCCATATGTCCCATATGTCCAGCTTGAGACACGTTGCCTGCCATTCTCGCTGGCCGAAGGGACCGAAGGGGTGGTCTTGACCAAGTTGGTGAGACACCTCGTGGTCTTTGGCTGTGACAAGGAGGTCATCGCTATTAGGTTGGAGGCCATGGCTTTTAGGGTGGAACTTTCATACACTTTGGACGTTGCCGAAAAAATGCACGGGCAAGATAGCAAATGATAGCAACAGCACCTGAAGTGGAAGTGCCTGAAGGGGCAACCCAGCTGCTGCCAACCTCCCACAAAGCAGCAAGCCGAGGTGGAACCAATAGAGGTGATGAAATATACGCTCGAGGCATCTTGCAGTTTCAATGAAACATTCGAAACCGCAGTAAACAGGTTTCCATGCGATCTGCAGTAGTTGCGTACATGAAACCGATTGGCTCAGAGCCTTGTTCGTGACAAAAGCCATGCTTGCTGCAAGGCACCTTAGCAAATTAGGAACACGCAACGTGTATCGAAATGCCCGAGAACTAATTGTTTTTTCTAAAGCCAGCGATTGGCCCTGACTTCTTGTCCAATAAATTGGGCCGTAGAGGATTCTCACAAAGAGTTGGAAGTTCCATCCCATGTTTCCTGAGCGTCCTAAGGTCCTAGCTATTTCTAAGTGGTCAGTTTCCTCAATGCCCCAAGGTCCCAACCTTTTCGTGAGGGGTAGAAGGCGCAAGGCCAGCAGTAACACGATGTAAAACATATGCCATTTCAGCCGTTGGCACAAATAGAAGTGTCGGCGCTGCCGCATTGAGCACCCCAAGCATTACGAGAGCTCTCCCATCGAGCTTTGCGATGAGGGTGGCATGGCTGCGCAGGGAAGTGGTGTCATCAAGCAACCACTGAAACACTAGGGTATAGTTGGCTTGGACGTCTTGTTGATAGTTATCTGGATGATACTCCCACATTCAGGCTACAAAGCAAAGATTTCCAGTTACAAGTAAGTCGTTACACGTGTTCCCATCAAGTGTCTCCAAAACTTCTCCACTGAGGTTCAATGTATTCTGTCTGCAAGCAAGTCCTTTCAATCGCAGCGTAAATGCCATGCAAGATCCAAAGCAAATCGCTATTCATGACACTTAAGACACATTGGCATCCCTCCTAAAGCAAGGCCATCGCTATTAGGCTGGAGGCCATTGTTAGTAGGTATCACAAGGACAAACTTGCCGTTACCACCAGTCGTTCTTCATGGCTGTGACGATGGACAGGATCCAGGCCACCTCTTCACCTGAGTTCAGCTTTCGTGGTTTGATTGCTGACTAGTATCAGCAGCTGGGCCAAAAGCTGGACAAGACTCCACTCATGGCCACCTGGGCTATTTAGGCTAATTCACAACAGCTAGTAGGTTGGAGGCCATTGCTATTAGGAACAAGACGCTACTAGGGCTCCTGGCCTTACTACTAGGAGCAAGGACGCTACCAGGGGCTCCTGGCATCGCTACTAGGAGCATTATTGCTAAAAAGGTTGGAGGCCATTCCAATTAGCTTCCCATTACAAATAGATTGGATGCTCGCAGCAATGCTCGCACATTTCTGGCCTGGATCAGCCCCTGCCACTGAACTGCTGGAAACCTCCAGACTCTCCAAGTCGACAATTGGATATGATAATGACTTATCGTTGATCGTCTAATAAACTCAATTGAGATGTTCAAACAACATAGTAGTTGTCACTTCTGTTCTTTTTCGTTTAATCATTTTGTATCCTGTTTCGTTGTCACCAACACGGAGGATGTTCTGTCACCAAGGTCGTGACGCCAGCGTCTTTGACAGCAAATCATGTAAATAAGCCTTAGGCAGCAAGTGGTAGATAAACAAGTAAAGCAATGCTTTGTCATTTGTTTCAAAAAATAATCAAAGTTGGATTCAATAAGCAAAACAGTTGGGTTTGGGTTATTTCTTGCTTCATGAACATCGAAGGCAAGGTCGAGACCACTGGAGTGTCATCTGCAGTCGGCAGAGTCGTGTAGTGCTGCGGTCGGCAGAGGGTTTCCGGTTTAGAAGGTTTTTGCAAGAGCTCTTGAGCAACCACTGATTGACGCTATGCAAAACTAAAGTTGATCCTCCCCAAAGCTTAATGTGGCCGTGATCAACAACTTCTTTCCATCTTCGAATTGAACAGCAACACATTTGCGACAAATTAGTTGGATACAGCTAAGCCTTGGCGATTGTTTGCGCCCTCTTGGCAGCATGGATAATACTGCTAGTAACAAGGGCATCGCTATTAGTAACAAGTGCATCGTTACCAGTAGCTAGAAGCTAACAGGTCTAGCAAGTGATACCGTATCTGGCCTCGCGCAGTGAAGCTTCTGAAATGATGACCTCCAGCAACGAACAGACTCAGCTGAACGCTTTCGACCTCCAATAACCTCAGCAAGTTTGTTGCTTCCCTTTGTTGCCCCTTGTTGCATGGTTGGTTCATTTCCAGAACCTTACGAGAGAAGGACCTTTCCGCCCCCTGCTTATGCCTGGACACGCCACACGCCACACTACTGGGAGTACTCTAGGCAGCTCATGTGGCAGTACACGTATGGCCTCTACCTCCTACTACCACATGCTAGAAATTTCCAGCTTTCGGGAATTCACTCATGACACAAAAAAGAACTACTCGGCTCACCTTTAAACTGTTCAAGCAGGTTCTTCTCTCTCTTCTCTATCTTCTCGCCATGCCCGCCCAGCATAGGTAAACGGTGTAAAACCGCATCCGTTTTGTTCTCCGTCCATCCACTAAAGCAGCAAACGCCTCGCCTCCAAGCTGTTCTCCAAAGCTCGGCTCTGCAAGAACATCTCCTGAGGCAAGAGATAAAACCGACGATTTTGAGTGGAAAAAAGAACATAAATGCACTAGATATCACTGGATGCACAGATTTCGCAGGACCTAAGCGTCTTAAAGAAAGCCTTAAAACGACACAGGACTTTCTATAGAAAGTAGCAAGAGGGGGCGTGACGAACTCAAATGCATGCGAACACTCTGAAACTTCAGACCTACGAGACCGTGTCCTTGAAACCGAGTTCGTGTTCTCCTTCAGACACCTCAAATGTAAACTCGGATGAAATACAATATGACCATCACGTCAGGTCTAAGCGAGACACGCGAGGCCCTTCTTTGTTGACGGAGGCAACAATGTTCTGCGCCCATGACTGCAAGTGCCAAGATAAGCACTGAGACCGCACAAACCATCCATACTTTCTGGTTCGACAAGGATTTGGCGTTGAGAATCCTCGACCATTTGATCGTAAAAATAAGTAGAGACTCTTGACACACCACAGAAACAATTTCCCAAAGCACGACAATGATGCGCCTTATGCATCTCTGCAATTGCTGGCACTGTACCTTTTGGTCTTGCAGCAACTGAAGAGCTGTTCAAAAGGTGAGCTTGTCCCAAATGTGTGTGTGAATATCTATTTCTTCACCAAATTGAACATTTCAGATTTCATCCAAGTCAACTTTCGCTATGTTTTCTTAATTGCCAAGTGCTGGCAAGGAATGGTGTGGCAGCATGTCACGTTCATTTGCCAGGTTGCGAGTGCTCTTGGCTCGGTTCTCCAATTGCGCTTCAAATTCGATGGCGCTGGCGGGTCGACCTCAGGTCTCAGGTCCTCCGTCCTTCGTAAAAATCGGGTGGAAAAAGGATGGCCGCTTCTATACTAGTAGCTTCTTGTTACTAGTATTAAGGATGCTCCTAGTAGTAAGGCCAGGAGCCCCTAGTAGCGTCCTTGCTCCTAGTAGCGATGCCAGGAGCCCCTAGTAGCTTCTAGCTACTAGCTTCTAGCTACTAGTAGCTTCTTGTTACTAGTAGTATCTAGTAGTAATGGTCTCAAACCTAATAGCGATGGCCTCTACCCTATTAGCAATGGCCTCCAACCCAATAGCAAACTATAAGTTATATAAAGATAAATAAATATATATATAGAGAGAGAGAGAGAGAACATGTTCAATGTTAAGAGCTATAATGTCAAAAGGGTGGAACACAGGGATGGTAGCATCATTGTCACAGTCTGCTTGTCTTCTACACTGCTTATGAAAGGTGACAATGATGGTAAGCCTGGGCAATGGGGTGGAAGGGATGGCAGCGTTCACTGACATTGTGCTCTCTCCTCTTCTTCTCCATCTTTTTTACTGAAAATGATGCTGAGCATCACAAGGGAAGAACTTTTACTCCTTCCCACATTTTGACAAGAGTGTCTGATGTTTGCACCACCCCGTTGGGTGACCACTCCCTAGCTTTTCCTGGCGCCGGCAGGTACAAGTAACCCTTAGTCAAAAATGATATGAACGTTTTGACATACAAGGGCCTGGCCAATCTTTTCGCGTGCACGCTTCACACCTTCCGCAGCTGACGCAACGACCACGCTGGTTCTTTCCTGCCAAGCTGTTCTTGCTCAAAAAGAACCCTTTAAACATGCAAGCGAAATGCGCCTGAAGCTTCTGAAAGCGCTCGCTTTGCTTGATGGCCTGCTCAAAAAGTCCAATCCAAGGACTATGGTGACATCGACAACCAATCTGAGTTGACACATCACCAAGCGGAATTGAGGGAGCAAGACTGAACAAGAGGAGCAATTTGCAATGGAGAAAACATGAGAAAAGGAATCAAACTGAACTGTGTCGTGTTTTTATTTGCATTGGCGATTAAACACCGTTTCTGTATTTCAACGTATTTCACACCTCAGCCTTTTCGCCCACTTTGCTGACTGCATTCTTCAGCCACGACATGGCGCTCAAACAAGGTGGGGCCACTCTGGTGTGCAAAAAATGTCATTTGAAGTCTTTCTCCTCTTCTTTTTCCCTCAAAGCTGTGGTAATCTGGAATGTTCTGTGAGCATTCCAGTGCGTAACATAAAACCACACTGCCCAGGCAAATGAAAATGCATCGATTCAGATTGAGCATGCGTGTATCGAACAATCAAAATGAATCAAGTCAAGGTCAAAGTGTAAAACCAATCGTGATACTGAGAGTGATACGACTGCAAGTATTAACTTCAACATGTGTGAGTTCCGTCTTACAGTTGCAAAATGATGTTTGCATGTCTTGCCTACAAAGGCGCACAGCCTCAAGAAGAATAAAACACATTTATATATATATAGGTATAGAACCTCAAGAAGGCATTTAGATAAAGGCGTGCCTTGCTGTAGGTAGGAAGGGACGGGATGGCACCTCGCAAACCAATTGAGCCAACCGAGGTGTTTCGACCACCTCGAAGGCCTGGTGACGCTGGAGAATGAAACATCAAAGAATGGCTATGATGTCTGGCAATACTTACTCGATCGTTGCTTGCTTTCGCGCTTGACCACAATTGTCTCGACATGAATGCTCATTTATATACCTTCTTCAAACAGAACAAAAAGAAGCGAGGCTATGCCTGAACTATTCGAGGATGTCGCACTCGAGCAAGAACTTTCATCTGCGGCATGTGCACATCTCGAGACATATCGGTCGGTCCCACTATACTTGCACACAATGAAAAATTCTCATGCCACCTCCCGGTGAGCTTGACGCTTATCACGCTGTCCCTGGTCGAAAACCTGCGCAGGTATAGATTCAAGTCCCCAATTGCAGCCCACATGCCCAAAAGTATCCACTAGGGGCTCCTGGCTGTACTACTAGGAGCAAGGACGCTACTAGGAGCAAGGGAGGCCCTAAAGGAGTGTAATTGCTCCTAGTAGCGAGCTTGCTCCTAGTAGTACGGCCAGGAGCCCCTAGTAGCGTCCTTGCTCCTAGTAGCGATGCCAGGAGCTATTAGTAGCGTCCTTGTTCCTAGTCGGGGTCTGTCAAATTCGACTGTTGGGAGCAACTCGGAAGCAGGTCGCCCATACTTCCAGCCTTCACTGCGACACGCTGATGATTGTCGCTGCGGATGGCCTTCTACTCTAGATGGCATGTGCTGAGATACACCGAAGGACCAAATCTGAGAGTGTATGATCTTTGCCTGGATCTTTTTACAAACGATGTTCCATGGCCTCCCAAACACTTGCAGAGGCACCGCGACCAAGGAACTTCTCCATGATGTACCTTCACACACTCGGAGATTGTTCCTTGCTTTGTTCCTTGCTTTGTTCCCAGACAACAACAACTTGCAAACTTCATGTTTGTATGCTGCGGTTCAGCCTTTCATTGTAGCCACAAAGGCAACCGGATGTCTAAAATCGTGGTCCTAAAAAAACTTCCAGGTCGTTAAACTTTAAACTATACTGTACTATACACACGTTTGCCGCTTGTTTATGGTCGTTGCAACCCCCCTTGCACATTTTAAACTTTCACAACTATCCATTTGGGCACGCGCCCGAGAAGATTTTGCTGCTTAAGTTCTTGAAGGGCTTCGGCTGCTGGTCCATGACTGACCTAAGTATTGGCAAACCGCTGTGATTGTTAAGACTTCACAATTTCCTACTCTTGCTGTCTGATACATAATAGCGCACTGACTTGATATCCTCGACTGTTCCGTCATGCTCCATGAAAACTGTTGTCAGTCAAGGCCCTTTCGCAGCAAGGACAGTCAAGAAAGGCTTACGTTAGCAGCAACAACGACAGTAGTTCATGGTCAAAAGTGGAGAGTGAGCAGTAGATAGATTGTAGTGCGCCAAGACAATCAGTAGTACGAGTAGTATACTTAGATATATTTCGCGACGTCATCCCAAGACCACTTAGGCTTCCGACATGTTTGTGCAGCTTCGCCGTCCTGCCGCAGCATTCACTGCTGCCGTCAAGATGTGCCCAGTGCTCCTCCGGGCTGCATGCCTGAAGAGAAAGACTTGAAAAACATCCGAGTTTTCGACTTTCACAGTGTTTATTGCCAAAAGCAGTTCCAAATCATTTTTGGACAACAAACACCAAGTCTCTCCTGTTGAAAGCAAAAAGCTGCAAGCTCATGAGAAAGAGCACCATTTTTGGAGATAAAAACTGGACTCGCTTTCACTTGAAGCATCTAGAAACCGTGGAACCCTCCCCAGAGCCTTGGGCTCTGAGCCGTGCCTGCCAAGCACTGACAAGAAAAGGGACGAACAAGGATGAACAAAAGCCAACAGTGCTCACACTGAGCTCTGAGACGAATGAGGTGATGCTAAACACATCTAAACACTATCTGTAAAAAAACGGAAAACAAAACAAAACATATCAAAAACACATCTCGTTAATTAGCTTTTTACCTTCAGAAAAAAACTGTTGCCTGCAGTGCTCGGAGGAGCTGGTGCTTTGAACTCCAGAACCTCAACAGGCCATTTCTCAGCTCATCTTTTCTATATGTTTTGTGTCTTTCATTTTCTCTATACCTCTAGAATCCTCTAGACCTTCCTTCTTTGTTCTTCCTTCTTTGTTTTTCCGGTTCCCGCCGACAGTGCCGAGATACGTGTGTTCATGTTTTGAGAATGCTCTGGACATGAAGTTCATGAAGGCTGGCCATTCTTTCAATTTAGGGCCTGGACGGGTGGCACCTCCGCTGCTACTTCCTGCCAGAAGTTCAAGATCTTGGACCAATGTGTCTTGCAAATGCATCACAGGCACCCTATAGAGCCTTACAGGCCCTGTTGGGCCTAAACCCGATTCATGACATTCATGGCTGTCTGATGACTCCAAAAACTAATAGCAATGGTCTCCAACCTACTAGCTTCTTGTTACTAGTAGCGTCCTTGCTCCTAGTAAGGCCAGGAGCCCCTACTAGCGCCCGTCCTCTGTTCCTTCCGGAACGAAGGCAGCTTCATAGCGCCGCCGCGGATCCGCTGACCGGGCACGTGCCGGAGGATCCAGCCGCGCCGGGCGTCGGGCGCTCTGAGCCCGAGGCGGCCGCGTGGGCGAGGCCCGGCGCTGCCTCTCAGGCCGCTCGGGCCGCTCGTCGCGCCTCTCGTCGTGCTCGCATCTGCGGCCGTTCTCCTTCGGAGTCTCCTTCGATTTCTCTTTGGGCTCCTTCCAAGCATGAAAAGGAGCCTGAGGTGATGAGGGTGAGCATCCAATGGCGCTGTGACGCCGCAAACGAAACTTGGGATCTCCGTGGGTCGCTGCAGCAACTGCCGCGGCCAGTCGGGCTGCCGCGGCCAAGCCTCGCTCCTCCGCTGATTCACGATATCGCTGAGGACTTCGTTCCTTCTCCTCGCCGTAGGATCTGCGTTTCTCGTCGTGCCGCCCCATGCGGCGAAGTGGAGCTCACCAGCTTCATCCCCGGAAAATCGGAGTTTTCAAGCTTGAGCCCAAAATAGTCACATCCATCCGAACCATGAGCCACATAGGCTAGAATCGGTTCTGACATGCAAGATGCCTGAAGCATTACAAGCATTGATGTTCATGGTGTTCAACATGCTTGTGGTGATACTTTACGACCTGCTGTGGCTCATTTGTTTGGCCTCTCTCTTTTTTTCGTTGAACTGCTTCATTTTTCCAGGATGACTACTTATTCCTCTTGACTTCCCCTTTGTTCTCTACCCATACCGATACCAGGAAAACCGAACAACGACACTCTCATGTGACATGGCAGGTCCAAGTTGCTTGGGCGGTTTTGCCTTTCTGCCCAAAGGCAGGTGGTTTGGATTCAACGCATGGCAAGGTACATCTAACAAATCCATGCAAACATCTCCTTCTTCCGACTGCAAATTCATGGCCATGCCTGGCGGGTGGCCAAAGCTTGTGAGAACTTTACTACGTCACTACGTCACACCTGGGTTTACAAAAGCTGGAAACTGGGTTTGTAAGGGCTATGCAACAAATGTGTTTGCTGTTTATTAGCTACTGCTGTTTGACTGTTTACTATTTACTCTGAGTTTTACCGCTTTTGAGTCTTTCAGACTACTATCTACTATTATCTACTAAAATATGAAATAGTTCTGGACAAATATGAAATAGTTCTAGAAAAGTACAACATAGTCCTGGAAAAGAAAACAACAAATAACTAGGCTACAGCAGGTTGTAAGCCATTACTCCCATTTCCGAACATGGCTCACCTCAATCTGCAGCACTGGAGAGGCTGCCACAACAAAAACAAATACAATTGTATCTTTGTCTAATTTGTCGAAGCCTAGAAGCAAACACCAATGATTTTTGTTGGTCGTTCTGGCTTCTTGGCCTAATTGGAAATCATTGGGTTGGTTTAGTTGTTTTTTGATTCCATCACTGCTAAGAAAAATTTTGTTTATGCGCAAGCTGCGTGTCGAAAACAAAAAGGTTGCGGACTGTTTCGGATTTGCACTTGGTTTTAAGCCACTATTCAGAATCTTCTGTCAGTTTATGTTCGCTACTTCTGACCCGTTGTCTTTTCCAAATCGTGGTCACCAGTTCTGAAACAAATCGATGCATAGGCCTCCTTTGGTTTGGTTCCATAGTTTCAGCATACGGTGTCAGAAATGGACAGAATACAAGGCGAAGCAAGCGGCTAGGGCCTCAAGCCAATTTGATTGAACCAACAGTGGCAAAGCTTTACATGATATGACTCTGACTCAGATTTGATATTCCTTCAGTCCTTCAACTTTATTTATATAAAATAAAATCAGCGGCCGTTTTCCATCTGCCACCTACTTCTGAGACGCCGGTGTAGGGTCCGCGGCATTCTCGGCTGCAAGTCTTCCACAGAGGATCCGTCCTTGAAATCAATCAAACACACTTTAGAACTACTAGTAGCAAGATAGCTACTAGGTGGAGGCCATCGCTACTAGGAGCAAGGATGCTACTAGGGTGGAGGCCATTGCTACTAGTAGCAAAAAGCTACTAGTAACACTAAAGAAACGCAGATGGGGAAGAACAGGTCCATGAAGTCCAACAATCCGAGAGACAAACGTATTTAACTGACTAAGTACTCAAATAATGGCCAAAGTGCTCAATGATACTACTTCTGAACTTGAAAACATCTTCCAAAGACCTTCGAAGTTGCTGGAGGTTTTTGTGGAAGTTAAACACTTTCCTGCCTTCAAGGTGTCCTTCAGCGTGCGCAGCTAGCACGGAGTTCCATTTTCAGCAACAGTCACACGAACGGTCACGCGATTACTGATCGCTTGGCGATGGCAGCACTCTCCCTCTTGCTCTCTGCGCGTTTTCTGAGGGGTTATCAAGTTCGGTTGGCATGGCAAGTGCGTGGCAGATGCATGGCAGGTGCAGGATATCGCAAATGCATCAAGAAGATTTTGTTACGGGTCTCCGTTGAGCATGCCGAGTCTTCAGTTTGGAAGAAATCTTGCGGGAAGCACCTGTCTTGGAGGGATCTCAAATCTGTGAGCTAGATCTACATTTCAATCTTGGAGCATATTAATTGCATGTACATATCAATCTCAATGCCACGCCCGCTTACCACTCTCCAAAACAAAGCCTGCAAATAAATGCAACTGGTGCACGAAATCGGTTTGATGCTCTTTCCAACCAGCATGCAGAGGGCATACACGAACATACACGAACACACTATATCGCGCAGATTCGTGTGTCACAAAACCTGCCTTGGTCGGACACTATGAGTGCCAGCTTTCGGACGAGAGGAGTGGACTGAATACCAGTTCCCCAAACACTATTGGCTGGCTCCCAGCCGAAAAAAGTGGTCTAAGGTCAAGGCGTCCTGCAGCAGAACCCACCTGACAGACTGAAATATGGTGAAACTCTAGTGCTTTTGGTCTTCCCAAACCCAATGAAATGCACCAATCTCTAAGCTCATGACCGGCGTACCCATCCCTCTGCTCGCTCAGGGTCGTTCAAGTCCAAAGCTGCCTTTGTCCGACTGGCACAGAGGAGCGCAGCTTGCCTCAGTCAAGCACTTAGTGTTCGGACAAAAATAGAAGTCGCGTGGTTTTGACAATTCAACCAGCGCTGAAAAGCCCTAATACAAGAAAGGTTTGTCGTGCAACGCTTTGTTTGAGGCTTCTCCTATTCATTTCAACCCCATTCTTCGTTTAGACGTCATGTTTGCGAACGGAATAGCAAAACAACTCTGCAAAACTCTACTCTGCGTGTTTTCTCTCGGTGTTCCATTGAAACACACCAGCACAAAAAGAAGAAAATAAAAACATGCTAAAGGCAAAATTAAGAGGAGACAACATAGACGAAAAACTATAACAAAAACCTGTGCCCTCTTTGCCTTTTCAACTCATCTTCACAACTCAAGCGCCTCTGCTGCAGTGGGCCCAGCAGTACTGGCAACGCTGCCGACGCACTGCTTCGGCCGCCACCCAAGGCTCTATGGAGGAGCTCCGCTGTCCTCGGGAACCCCTCTTTGGACCGATGGCCTCCAACCTACTAGCTTCTTGCTACTAGTAACAATGCCAGGCGTAGCGATGCCCTGGAAGCTACTACTAGCTTCTTGCTACTAGTAGCGATGGCCCCCCAACCTAATAGTGATGGCCTCCACCAACTAGCTTTCTTGACAATGGATTTTATTGAGATTTAAAAAGTCCATTAGCTTTTGTGTTGTAAGTTGTATCTGTTTGTTCTTTCTTTGAAGCACAACTATGGGGCAGCCTGGTGAAACGATTTGACTCCCTTCAACAAGCTGGTGATTCTCGAAAAACAAGCCATGCTCAGCTGGTGTTCTCATCCTGTGGGTCTTCTTTCATCCAGTTGATGCTTGCTCATATTTACTGAACATCAGCAGCATCTTGCATGGACAAAAGGCCGGCCCATATCCATTGCAATGAAGCTGCTCACCCAAAATGCCTTCCCCCGCAAGTAGAAGCTTGCTGGCAGCCTCCATACTTCGTTGACGCTTCCTGAAGCAAAAGCAGCATCAGTGACTCTGGCTAAGTAGTAGGATTCTTGTGGAAAGAAAAGAGTAGAATAAAGACGTATTAGTTGAGTTATTCATTAACTGTTACAAGTGTAACTGTTTAACGAAAAAGCATACAGTCTCTTTTCTTTTAGTTACTTGTCGTGTTATCTACTGTACCTGTGTTTTGCCCAATAACGTCCATGTGTTTCTCTTGTCCTCGGCACCGCTTCTGAAAGTGCTTGCAGTTGCAACCTCGCCACTGCAGCCGTCTGTGGTCCTGGACCCCACCTGAAATCGCTCTCGCTCTGTCCCCAGTGCTTCACTACGAGTTGCCAGGCAAGGCTTCAAACAGAAAACACACATGGCATGGAAAACACACATGAAAAACATACTGATGTGTCTTGATTCTTGTATCTTTTTCTAGGTTGGAGGCCATTGCTATTAGGTTCCTCCGCTCGCTGCCTCACCTCTGAAGCATGCGCTCAATGCCACGCCAGTCTCCAAGCTCTGCTAATGGCCGTATAACGAGTAGCAAGGAGTCTTCTCTTCCTCAGGGCAACATTTTGCAATGACTCATGACATCTCATGGACTCATGGCTGAGATAGTCAAACTTCAAACATAAATGTCCCCAAAAGCATGTTGTCTCATTGTGCAGCCAGCTCTGTCCAAGACAGATCTTTGCACTAATTAGCTTGTGGACTAATAGATGAGCTGATTATCTGTTCTTGAACTCGATGATTTTCTGAATTTCTTGGAAGCAAAGTCTCGCTGAGCTTCCAACTCTCATGTGTTGCGGGCAAAGCTTGAAAAGCTTCCTGTGCCAGGCCCAAGAATGGTGCACTGCTGGCCGCCTGCAGCACCTGGAGATCGACTCAGTCCTGCTGAGTCGTAGCATTGATTGGATGGCAAGTGCCCCCACCTCAAGAAGAGCAGAGGTGCCAGGATCGTGGTCGAGAAGCTTCATGTCACCTCAGATTTGCTGGATACAAGTGGGACATAATGATCATAATGTAAGGGCTAAATGGAATTAAATAACTTTAAATAGATGCCATGGCTTCTAGGTTGGAGGCCAACGCCCGATGTAAGGGGCTAAATAGATGCCAAATGCAGGCAAGCCACGCCAAAGGCGACCAGCTCGTTCAGCATCACCCAAGCGTGCGCTCCTGCGAAGCAAGACACGATAGGCATTGCCATCCACCTGTGCAAGCAAACGGCAGTACCAAATGTCTCGCCTTTTGTCCATAGGTCTTGGATGAATTCCTCTTCTTACTGGTGGCTAGAACGCTTCTATTGTTCTGTATTTTGGTGTTTGTTCTCTTTAGACTTTTCAGTCTTTATTTATTTCCTTGGACTTGGACCTTTAGACCTATCTTGATTTCTTCTTTCCTGCCAAAGAAATCCAAGATGATGGTATGTTGATGTGCATGAGTGCCTTTAATTGAATGGCAGGAAAAGTGGATGAGTGCTTTGTGCCGTTTGTGCCCTGACCGCACTCAATTGGTTTGACTAATCCCTCGCATTCCAAGAATTCTGTGCCTCCAGCATGGCAGCCCGGCTACGAAGCAGAATATCCTCCTCAGCTTTGTCTGACAACCTACTAGCAATGGTCTCCTATCTAAGAGCGATGGCCTCCACCCTAGTAGCGATGGCCTCCAACCTAAGGCCTCCAACAGCCCCACGGCATGACCAATCACATGTTTGCTACTTCACTCGTTTGCCTTCGGGAAGGAACCATTACAACAAAGACGTGCTTTTATACGTGACTTCTTCATGTCGATCCTTCTTACTTGTCCAGCCCAAATTCAAACACCCGGGCACAGCGTTCTGCAGCAGCTGTCGCCTGCCAGCAAGGGGATGCAACATTCATCTCTTTTAAGAGACAGGGACAAAATTTGTATTATCAAACATCCAAAAGCTGCTTCAGGACACAAAAAAGTTGGAGCCAACTCAGAGTCAGAGCAAAAAAAAGGTCAAGAATACAACATGTACTGAAGGTCCAAAGGAAACGAGGAAGGCCGGGAGCAAAGGAACAAACATGAGTAAGGCAACAAAACAGGTCAAAAGGTCAGAATAGATGCAATGAACAAACATGAATAAGTTCCAACATGCAAACGCTACGTTCGGAGCTCCTGGCCTTACTACTAGGAGCAAGGACACTGCTAGGAGCAAAGGGCATGCAAAGAAGGTCTAAAGAAAGTCCCACAAGTCCCTCCCCTCTGTTCGAGCCTGGAGGCTGACAATGCAGCTGTGGAGAAAGCATAAGCCACGTACGAATAGCTCACAGCATCCGGCATGGCAGGCCTTCAACGGAAAGGCAAACCTTCAACCCCAAACTTTCCAAACAGGGAAAGCAGAAAGTGAAACGCTATCTATTTTGCTATTTGGCCTCTGTGATTTCCATTTGGGAGAACGAAACCATCTCTCTTTGCAACCTCCTGTTACTAGTACTTGCAGTAACAAGAACACCTTCCTTCTACGAAAATAGGTGCCGCCATGATTCTGTGATCCGGCGCACATCTCCTCAGCACTTGCATCATTGCATGTGCACCATGAAGCATTGACTTCGCTGGAGTATCCTGATGCTAGTCAAGGGAAAAGCACTGAAGCAAGCATTGTTTCACCATGTGATCCCAAGGAGAAGCCACAACCGCGCTACCTTCTGTCGAGTCACATCCAGCAAATTCAGCGCAGCTGTGTGGTCCGCTTCTCCAGCTTGAGCTGCCAGTAAAGCATTCAAGCCAAAGACATCCACCTCTACACAGGCCTGAAGAAAATGAACACTGAAGCTCTTGGAACTGGAATGCTCTACCCGTCTAGTAGGACACTTCTTGAAGGTCGTGGGTTTCGCCATGCCCTTACAAGAGCAGCACTCTGGAATGCCATGCTAGACGCTTTCTTAATACAGGTACTCCGACAAGGCCTCGGGCCAGATCAACTTGACCATCTTTGTAATATCACATATGTATGCAGTATGCATAGATTTACTGTCCTATAAACTGATAGTGTGGTACTTTGTATTTGGTGTTCTCTCTTTTCTACGCGGGGGGCAATGCGATTTGGAAGCTAAGTAGCAGGAGAAGCGAACAAACACTGTCCGAGATGGAGTAGTAGCCAAACGGAGTGGCAAGAAACTATATATGCCTTTATACTGTTTTTCATTCTAGTTGTTTTGGTTCAATGATCCTTATTTCTGTAGTAATCAGACCTGTATTTTCCTGTCCTTTCTTTTTGTGGAAAAGCACTCGCTGAACGAAGTGGTGTGGAGAAGAAACACCCCTAGTAGCTTCTTGTTCCTAGTAGCAAGAATGCTCCTAGTAGTAAGGCCAGGAGCCCCTAGTAGCGTCCTTGCTCCTAGTAGCGATGCCAGGGAGCCCCTAGTAGCGTCCTTGCTCCTAGTAGCGATGCCAGGAGTTTCACAGTCTACACGGCTACACAGGTGATGTTCGTAGGATTCCGTCTGGCCTCCTCCATACGCGAAATCCAGCAGGAAGCCCGTCGTGAGTCACCAACTTTTCCACAAGCGCGCAGAAGGATTGTATACCTTGTCATGGAAGGTGACGAGGAAAGAAAGAGATGTATCAGGAAACAAGGGAGGTTGACGTGGTCCAAATTCCGCTGGAAAAAGCAATTGAGAAAAGGACAAATAAAGAAGCTTAAGGAATGTAGACTTGAGCTTGTTCCAATTGCTGAAGCGCGATTTCTTTCCAATAGGATTCCCTCTCTCGCTCCACTTGGAACACGTACAGGGACCTAATGCTCTGTGAACTTTGTGATCAGGGTGTTCTCTCTTGCTCAATGGTTCAGCAGCCTTGTAGAAAGAAAGAACACACATATCTCAAGAAAATAGATCTCTTTTGCTCAGCGGCTCATTGGCAGTTGCTTCAATCTGCGATCGAATCATCTCTTGGAAATAGTGTTCTGTGGTCCTCAAGGATCGGCCACGAAATGACTCGAAATGACTCGACAACTGCAACCTGTCGAAGACGGCACGTGTTCACAACTGTCGTTTTGCCTCAGTGTAAGCACGATAAGCCTGGCCTTGTAGAAGCAATTGCCGCACAAGAATTCATCACGTGCCTCATGTCACACCGCCCAACCCCGATCCACCCAAAACTCTGCCGACCCCTCTGTGACTATATGATGTGAAAAAAAAACGTGTGTGGCGATGCCACATAGGACATAGGACTACAAGTGCACGTGAACCTGGGAACATGACCCCATAGTTCAAACCTTTCCAACAGTACGTGTCAAACGCCCATGTTGAGCGACAATGGCCGATATTGCTTTCACCGCTTCACTTGCTTGCCAAAAAGGTGCGAGAAGCTCTGAAAGTTGGGCTCATGTCTTTCACGAAGACACTGCAACCATAACTGTGCTCGCTCAGCTTCGTGTGCCTTGGATCGAGCTACATGATGAAATTATGTCTGAAAGTGTCTTCCAAAAACAACATGTGAAATCAGATTATTTAAGACCTTTTGAAACATTTGCTAAGCACTTCATGTCAGCTGTTGCTTGTTGGAAGCAAGAGGCCATGGCACAGGAGAAGAGCAAGAGGTTGAAATTGTCAAGCATCTCAACCATTTGCTCCTTCGCTTCAACGTACAACCTCCACCCTTACTGCTCCTATAATTAGCCTTTCATCGGACAGAAAAAACGTCCATATTGTGGCTAGCTACTAGAATGAGGCTAGTTTTAGACTCAATGGCAATAGCAATATTTTTTGCTATGTGCATCTTGATCCAAGCGTCGTGTAAAAGTTGATGAGGGCCTTTCTTGATATCTTCCCGGCTACACTTTTGCAAAGCCCTCTAGATTCAAAGCTCGGAAAACTTCCAAGGATAAAACAGACGATTAGGCAGCTGAAAGCGAGTCTCGATCAAAGTTCGTTTCAAAAAACCGTTTTTTTAAATCAAACCACTGTCCCCCAGTAAGATCGATCAATTGTGATGTGTTCGCCCGCCATGCATGAGCGCTCATCTAGCAATCTGTTGACTGAAGTTGTTTTGGATTTCCCCTCTTCATCACTATTAGTGTGTGCAAAACTAAGGGCAATTCTGAGTTTTCGCAGTCAGCAAATCAATGAACGTCTGGAGGCAGCGGGGCAACATTTTTTTTTCACCCTTCAACCCTTTTTTTTTCACCCCACCCTTTTTTTTCCATCCTCCACCTTTCTTTTTCACCCTCTGAACCTTTTTTTTTCACCCTCGAACCTTTTTTTTCACCCTCTACCCTTTCTGTTTTGACCCTCGACCCTTTCTTTTTCACCCTCCTTCCTTTGCTTGGTGTGTTGGTTGGTTGGCTGCAAACCAAATATCGACAGCCTTTGGGGAAAACACAGGGTGGTGTGGCTTTGGTTGCTTGGTTTGTTGGTTGCTTGGTGGGCTGCCAACGCAAAGCAAGTATCGACAGCATTTGGGGAAACTAGAGTTTGGTTGCTACCCTTTCTTTTTTACCCCACTTCCTTTGGTTGATGTGTTGGTTGGTTCGCCCTGCTTGGCTTGTTGGCTGCTTGGGTTTGGAGAAAATACATACAGTGATGGATGCATCATGGACAGGGAGAAGAATGTTACTTTTTGGCGCGTTGGTTTGTTGGTTGGCTTGCCGTGATTGCTTGCGTGATACAGTGCTTGACGGGATGGATGGATGGATGGATGGATGGATGGATGCTGTGTCACTGGGGAGGGCGCAACGCCTCCCCCGCAATGCAGACCAATCCTCCCCTGCCAAGGACTGGGCAATGCACAGAGTTATGATGAGATATTATGTTGTTTGGTTGCTTGGTTCGTTGGTTGCTTGTTTGGTTTCTTTGCTTGGCCGCGTTGTTTCTTCGTTGGTTGGTCGGTTGGTGGGCACTCCGTTGGTGGATGGATGCATGGATGGATGCTGGGCTGCCTCGCGTCCCGGCGCAGTTTCCGCCGGTTCGCGTCGTTCCGGATAGTCTCTGCGCAGTTTCCGGAGGGTTCTGAAGGGTTGGTCCCAAGAAGTTTGGAGGTGACAACTACGGGCTTTGCGGCTGCACATACGCGGCGTGAAACTAACCGGAGGTGACATCGTTCTCTGCGCAGGTTCCAGGGGTTACCTGCTTCGCCGGCGGAGGGTTGACAAGAAAGGGTCGAGGGTGAAAAAGAAAGGGTAAAGGGTGAAAAAAAC